TTTATATAAAAAATTGTCCTGGCTATTCCAAGCTCTATCATTGCAGTCTGCGGGTGTTGCAGTTAAACAGTCCACAAGTCGTCAAATAAAGCTTGCTCATTCATAATAAAACGTGCCGTAGGCGGTAGCGAATCCATGTGTTTTTGTTAGAAAAACCTCCGACTGGATTCGTCTGAAAGAAGAAAATCATATACACCTAGGATGCCTCGAGGGTGAGTAAAATACAAGCTAATATTCATTTTTGGGTGAACTAACCCTTTAACAATTATGTGAAAAATAATGCGTTTTTAAAAAAAACGAAGCATTAACACGTTAGACTGCACCTCATAAACACAATCAAGCCTCGAAAAAAAACACTGAACCACCCCTTTAAAGCCAGCCTAAACAGACCAGCTGCCTATTATCTAATGAATAAAAAGCAAAAGATTCACCTTGAGTGGGGACAGACCACTGAAATAATCCAGTAAACACAAACAAATAATAGGCTATTTTGAAAAAAGAGAGGAACCAATCTAAACCCATTGCTACTAAAGCTTGAACCCTCTTGGAATATGCTAACATTTCATGAATAATTCTCCCCAAAATAAAAATTCTGTCATTATTTACTCACCCTCAAGTTGTTTTTTCTTCTGCAGATTCTGGGAGAAACCATTCCTCAAACTCCATTTTTCCAGTAGTGACATCTAGTGGTAGATCTTGTATTATGAGTTACTAAACAGATGCTTGTTCAAAGTGATATACATTGAAGCACCCTGTGGTTAAGTGCTTTACTCAAGGGCACAATGGTGGGTAGTTTCATAAATCACCCTTTCTAAAACTTGAACCAATGACCTTTAAGACTACACAACTTTTAAAATCTAAACAAATTTCAAAACACTTGCCGATATCAGACATCATACAACTGCCGACTTTGTAAATGGCTACAGAGAAAAACTGGACACCATACACTAAACGACTGAGGATCGCACACTACCAGACTTTCAAGTCATTCTGAACACATCGAAAGTTGTGTAGTGTATTCCAGCCTTTAGATATCTCACTATTAAAACCTCTGTTTTGCATTATTTAATTGGTTCAAACATACATTAATTGGAATGAACTTTAGTTAATTGAATCAGAAAATGATAGCTTATTAGGATGTTTTGATAGTGTTTTGAAATGTTACAATAGAGCGTAAAGCTGACTCATTTACTTTAGACAGTTCACAACAAACTAAGCTAAGACTGTAGCAAAATGGCAATTTTAGACTCAATTTGCAGAATAGTTTTAACGATGTGAACTGTGTGACTTGTCTTACACAACTGAGTGATATCACAATAAAGCAGTGGTGGTCAGTCCTGGGTCTAGAGATGCAGGTAATGGCTATGACCTACTATGGGAAGACTTTATTTTTATTTAGCGAGCTTGTCTGGAGGCATTCCCTGAACTGACAAGAGAAAGAATTGAGTAAACGAGAGAGCTAAGCAGTGCAGTTTCACACTTGAGTGACAGGAAAGAGAAAGGCGTTTTGGAGGCTTTGGCTATCTAGTGGAATAATGAAATCAAATTGATGACACTAGAGCGTCAAGATGAATATGAACAGATTGTTCCCAAGAGCATCTGAAATATACAGCGTTTTATCCAACAGGTACAACCCTGAGGTCAAAAGCATATTTTCTATTTACTCTCTCTAGGACATTATGATGCATTGGAGCCCCAGACAGCATTTGAGTTCATAAAGGATCCTTCAGTGGGGCAGATTGCTCTTGCCTTCCTGCAGGCCTCATTTGCCTATAGCGGATGGAACTTCCTGAACTACGTCACTGAAGAGGTGGTTGAGCCTCGCAAGTGAGTCTCTATTATAATCTATGTCACAGTCATGGCCGGCCCATCTTACAGACAATAGAGGTGGTCGTCTGGGGCCTCAACATGCCTGGGAGGCCTCGCGAAGGAGATGTACGTGTTTTAGGACAGTTACTGCAGAGGAAATATTTGTTGTTCTCAATTAACAAAATGCAATCAAATAACAGCCCCACAGCATAGTGCACAAACATGAACACATGCATAGACCTTGTTTAACACACCAACCACAATGACCGTAAGCCTAAATAACCCTATGAAAAAGAAGCTTTTAATCACCAAATGACAAATAACTTACAAATACCAAGTGACAATAAATACAGCAACAGTATAAATAAAAGCATCCACCAGTGAAACAAAAAAAAGCATTGTAACCTGCATAATGTATTCATGTTGCGTAGCATCAAGTACCGTATTATCAACAGATTCCAAACCATCCTCAAAAGTGTTCAAGTTGTCGGAAATGCACAAAATAGGTTACAGAAAGGATTACTTCACGGCTATTTGAGATGCTTTCTGTGTTTCAAGCACGTTTGGATGGCAGAAACAGCGCTTCTGTTGCCAAAGGCTAGTCACGTTTTCTCAAGAATAATCTGGGCAACGAATTAAAAGACTTTCAACAAAAAGATGCAAAAACTCTGAGTGAAAATGTGGGTAATTAATCTGGACATTAACCAGCCAGCTCTCTAAGCTCTCATATTTAATACTTTATTAGTTATTAGTGTATATATAGGGCATATGTAAATTAATTCTTTTATTTTTTCGTACTTGATTTTCACTGATTTTTATTTAAATTCAGCTTTGCCCCACTTTTTGTCTGCAGGTTTTACGTGTTTATTCTGCTACAGGAATGTACTTAAAACAAACGAAAATCTGTTATTATACATCTACTATACACTGTCGTTATTGGTAACTAAAACTATTAAAATTGTTTCTGTTAAAATACAATCTAAAAAACAAAAAAAAAACTGAACAAAAATTAAAAATGTTGCCTTAGAAACTAACTGAAATAAGTTGAACTAAAATTGCTAAAACTGAAAAAAGTATACTTAAAATACAATACCTTGGGTAACTCATACAGCATATGTTTTATGGTGTGTTATGGTTTCTGCTCTAGGAACCTTCCACGTGCAATCTACATCTCCATCCCCCTGGTGACGCTCGTCTATACTCTCACCAACATTGCGTACTTCTCCTCCATGTCCCCTCAAGAGCTGCTGGAGTCAAACGCTGTCGCTGTGGTGAGTTTCTCTGACTTCTTCTGGCTTATTCTGCTAAAACAATCTATTAGGTGCTTTGATAAATTAGTTTTTGTGTGTTGTGTTGCAGACATTTGGAGAGAAGCTGCTAGGAGTGTTCTCCTGGGTGATGCCCATCTCTGTGGCTCTTTCCACCTTTGGGGGGATCAACGGATACTTGTTTACATCTTCCAGGTAAAGAAACATTTGAGTACTATTAAAATGGCCTAATACAGCCATGCTTCAAACTAAAACTTGCTTCATTGTCCATCCTCCACAGGTTGTGTTTCTCAGGCGCCAGAGAGGGTCACCTGCCCTATCTGCTGGCTATGATCCACCTTAAGAGCTGCACACCAATTCCTGCCCTACTCGTTTGTGTGAGAGAGAAAGAGCTATTCGCACACACAGCACATGCAACACAATACTGCTTTCAGTCTGCATGATTTGGTTGATCTGATTCAGGTCTAAATGGGGTCCAGAATGTTTTGTGAACAGATAACGACATCTGTCATTTAAAATTATAGGCTAAGCAAAATATAAACAAAACCGAGTTGAACGTCCTTCAAGGACAGCGCATCCACACTTCGCTCCATCCTTATTCTGCTCTGTCACTCATCGACAACCTGCCTGTTCTGTCTGAGGGCCGTATATTTACCACCGGTATAGCCTGCTCTGAGCATCGTTATGCACATGCTGCGCACAGACCCTGCAAATAAAACGCGTGGCACAGAAAGCATGCGTGCAGCGTGTGCATAACAGTCCGAGTGCAGGCTGTACCGGTGGTCAATAAGAATAAAGCGCAGATATGCTGGTCTGAATGGACGTCGGGAATGGGATATTGTTAGAAGACCGCCCGCTCCCGTTCAAATTACACCAGAGTTGCCGACTGCTACCGCGTTTTATTTGGGAATTTAATCCCGCGGTGCAAAAAATCTGGTCGGGTCCCGAGGTTCCTGCAGACCTCTACTACAGACCTCATCAGGAAGATTGATTTAGATTGACTGGTCAGTGTTTAGGTGGTATTCACCTCCCTCTTCTTCTCTCACTTTGCGCAGGTAAACTTGTTGGTCCCTTGCAGCTATCTAGTGTTCTGGGCAGTGTTACTGGGCTTCAGTCTGTACTCGGAGCCAGTGGTGTGTGGTATGGGGCTGGTGATCATGCTCACTGGAGTACCCATCTACTTCATTGGAGTGCAGTGGAAAAACAAACCACACTGGATTTCCAGTGCTGTGGGTGAGCAAGACCAGCCAAAACTGCTTCGCATTTTGTTAGCACTCTGCAATGAAAAGCCATCTGACATCTGTAAATGTACATGTGTTTCAGAGAGAGTCACCTATCTGGGGCAGAGGTTGTTTTATGTGGTCTTCCCTCAGGATGATCCTTCTGAAATACAGCCTCTTACAGAGAAATCAGAGCTGTGAGCGTCAGCAGAGGACTCCTCGCACTGCTTTTTGGAATAGCAAAGACCCGTTTTCCATCCGTTATTGAGTGTTTTCCCTGTCTGATGCTGTATGTGAGGAGATGCTTCCCAGAAGCTCCTCTGAGACTCAGCCATCATAGCAGAAGAAACAGAAGTTTTGTTTTCTTGCTCAGACATCACATTTCTTAGTTGTAACTGTTCTCCCCTCACATACATTTGTCCGGACCTCACCTTGTAATTGCACCCTCCTCCTGTCCTGTCGGAGATGAATTTCCATGTCCTCTTCACGTTTTCCATGGGAGTTGTTTGTTTTTTGAAAACTGTTGGTGTATTCTCATGTGCCTTACAGGATCTCACTCTGTTTTTGAGGTTTTTATCTTTACTTTAAGTAGACTTTTTATTTATCCCCTATAAGTGAGCAAAAGGGGAATTGTTGAAGACTGTTTACCTCTTAACCCAGTCTGAAATCTAAACTCCATCTGTGAGTCTGAACTTTCTCACCTAGAGGATTAGGCCTTCTAGTCCTCCTAATACTTACTTACTCAGGCAAAAACGTAATAACGTCTAGCTATCCTCTAAATGTCTATGCAAGAACAGTGTAGGCACTTTAATGTAGTTGCATATTTTTAGCTCATATTGCACGATAAACTTATTGCTATGCTTCCTGAATCTGCTGCCACTGTTTAACAGAGGCTCTGCTCCAGCACTTATTAACACTGCCAGCCTCTTAGCCTTATGCTAATGATAGGAACCATGGGATGTTCCAAGTCCGTTCTTCTTGGATAACGTTATTTACATAAAAGGTGCTTTACATAAAAAAAAAAAAAATAAAAAAAATCCTAGGCAGACACTTTCAACTGTTGTCCAAAAGGAGATTAATGCCTTTACATAACCAAGACATTTGTTGCATTTATTTTGGGCATTGATCATGGACTTTCCACTGAGCTATGCAACAGCCATGATATCCATCTCTTCGTTTTAAACTGACCACCAAACCACAAAAGTCCGTCAAACAGATTTTGAGAGTTTGGATCTGAAATAGTTGTGAATGGCGGCTTTTGCTCTTTAACGTCACTTGAGCTCCCTCTTCTGGTTAGATCTTTCTAGACACCCTATCCTTCATGAACACCCCAGTGCTCTTTCCAGGGGTCCAGCTCAGTGTCTCTCAGTGATGTCCGTCAGACTAGCAGTGTTCATGTTCTCACTGGCCACAGCGGCAAGGCATGCTGAAAAGCACAGTACAGTGAAATCTTAATGTAAATATTGCTTAAAAGTTTAAAAAACATCGGATTCATTGTGAGATCGCATTCCTGACATTAGTGAAGTGTGAGGCGTATGTATTAAAAATATATATGTTCCATATTGTATGCACTATATGCTGATATACATTTGTTTTGTAAAAAAAAATGTTAAAAGGTGTTTAACAGCCATGATATCCATCTCTTCGTTTTAAACTGACCACCAAACCACAAAAGTCCGTCAAACAGATTTTGAGAGTTTGGATCTGAAATAGTTGTGAATGGCGGCTTTTGCTCTTTAACGTCACTTGAGCTCCCTCTTCTGGTTAGATCTTTCTAGACACCCTATCCTTCATGAACACCCCAGTGCTCTTTCCAGGGGTCCAGCTCAGTGTCTCTCAGTGATGTCCGTCAGACTAGCAGTGTTCATGTTCTCACTGGCCACAGCGGCAAGGCATGCTGAAAAGCACAGTACAGTGAAATCTTAATGTAAATATTGCTTAAAAGTTTAAAAAACATCAGGGATTCATTGTGAGATCGCATTCCTGACATTAGTGAAGTGTGAGGCGTATGTATTAAAAATATATATGTTCCATATTGTATACACTATATGCTGATATACATTTGTTTTGTAAAAAAAAATGTTAAAAGGTGTTTATCAATAACAATATTAGCACATTAAATTTTATTCTGGAAAAGGCTGCAAGCAATTGTGTGCTACATGTGTGTTTGAGTAAAGACATGAGGCTACTGCGGTCTTATTTCAAAGGCTGCACCCTCCAGAGGTTGCATTTGTTGGCCACATATTATGTCATTGAGTCTGCCTCATTTCAGAAAAGTAACCATAATATTGCAAAGTAAGAAAGACATTACAATAATTTACGCCACACAAGAAATAACAGTCAATGCTTTTCTGACATCCTCTGACAAACATTACCATCAGAGGACACAGACATCGAAATGAGACACAGCTTATGTTACAGAAATATATTAACTCTAGAATCCTATCTGTTTAGTAATTATGGTGAGGGTTAGGATCTAAAGACTTTTAACAGGAAGTTTCTGTTATATGGCCACTGGTCTATTATGCTACAGGGCTAATTGTGTTCTTCAGGGAAGATTAGGTTTATGAATGACTACACTTCATCCAGATAACAATAAGCGTGTCTGAATATCTAATGAAGAAATGTGCGTTTAATGCAACAAGTAAACAGTATTTTTTCATCCTTTCAGCAAATGAAATGCATCAAAACCTTTTCAAACATGTAGCAACCTTGACCATTACCGACCATACACAACCAGATTGGAAGGGGAAAAAATTAAATGTTAAACACATTTACAAAATATGTTCAAGGCAACCACAGACTGCAATGAAAATAAGATAGAAACACTTCCAAGGGGGGCATGGGATGACTTACAATTATTTAACTTAATTATATTAAAGCAACTTAATTAAAATGCTAAAAAACTAAAATCCAAATAATATTTATTTTCCTCCCTCAATAACTTTTATTCAAGAACATACAGTTCTTGAAACTTCTAGAAATACAAAATGAATTGTGGTCCAATATTGTGTTGGACAGTTGGTGGCCTTTGAGTCAAAAAGGTTAAGAACCACTGTTCTAGGGTTTCAAGCTGCTGGCCGAATAACCCTAAAAGACTTCATTGATTGTTATCTGTTGTCTTCTATTGGATTTTACTTGAATTCCACAGAACATAAAGGACACTATTAAAAAATCAAACCAGTAGTCATGTATGCCGCAAGTAAAGTCTCTTAGCAGTGCTTTAATCTTCAGCCATTTCAACTGAATCCAACAAATGACAAGACAAAGTGCATGACCTCTCTAATGGCACTGAATCTAAAGGCTTCACAATGCATTAAAACATCTGCAATTCTATAAAATCTATTAATTTCTGAAATGGAACATTCTTGAACCTATGGGATCAGACAAGAGATCCTGCAGTCTGAGCATTGAGAATGGAGATATGTGAAATAACAGCAGCAGACAGAATGAGTTAAAGGAACAGACCGACCCTTCAGAGATGGGACCAGCTTTTTAGTTTGATTAATTCTTATTTCTAAGCATAGACCAGGACCAAGTGTGCTAAACCAGCAAGTATGACTTGCACCGAATATGTGGCACTACATTTAATAACAGAACATACATACATTCACAGATATGGGAGCAACATAATTTTACTGGCAAACATGTCTCTCAAGTATAAGCATAAATGCTGATGAAATTGTAATGGCTGATATGAAAAACAAAGACATTAACATGTGTGGGCTCAAACACAAATGTGATTATTGTGTCATTTTCCCACGACTCCGTGATGTCCTGATGGCTTCAGAACTCAGTTGAGGCAGCAGTACTTCTCAGTACATCTATAGACTACAACTGTTAACAAGGAAATCCAGGTTAATTGCTTCTCTCTCATGAACCATTATACATTTCCTGAGTTCTGCTTCCCTTCAAGAAACACTCACTGTCTTTTACATGGGGAAAATGCTTCTTAACATTAATTTATGTCAATGGTGGACCTGCCATGATATTACAGTCTGGTAGCCAGACTAACAAAACAAACCTTAAAGGTGGGGTAAGTGATTTCTCGTAGCCAATGTTGACATTTGAAATCCCCAAAACAAACACGCCCCTACCCAAAAAGGGTCTCGCCCCTATTTTGATAGCTCCGCCCCACACATACGTACGCAACCCAGGCAACGATTAGTTCTGTGAAACAAAGCAAAACCAATGTTATACCGGACGCGAGTGGAGTGGCGCAACAAAATACTATGGAACTCATTATAATCAGTGATGCTGTCTACACCATAGATATATATATATATACATATCTATGGTCTACACTTGATGCGGCGCAGCACAACACGACAAATCCCCGACAGAAAACTGCTGCTGCGTTCTATTCATGACGTAGACACAAATTTCAAATGATTTTCACCGGTCGCTTTGTCGCGTCCAGTGTACTAGACAGACTTTAGCTGTTGCGGCGCAGACACGGTGTTACTCACCTATCGAGAAGAAACAAAGTAACCTCGGTGGCTGATCGCAGGCCTTCCGCTCCTTGAGTTCTCTCCAGCGCTGGAAAGCTGATCCGATATTTACACGGGTCCTAATTCTTGCCTTAAGCCTTCTTTTGTTCCGCAGACGTTTCCTCTTTTGTTTTTTTATACGCCATCTCTATCTTTCTGTCTCTCCGCTGCTAATGTCTGTCCTGTGCAGTGTGCACTGAACGCTCTCTCCTCCACATCATGAGTAGACACGCCCCTTACTGCTGATTGGCTACAAGTTTGTTTTGCTAGTCGGCCCGAATCAGTTTTCTAAAGTGTTTTTGAAAAATCGCTTACCCCACCTTTAAATACAAAAAAGCCGATACAGATCATCACTAAATCAGCAAACAGCTCCAGTAGTCCAGGGGTATAAAATTGTACACCACTGTTCAAAGGTTTGGGGTCAGCACATTTTTTAAAGAAATCAATTATTTTATTTAGCAAGAATGCATTAACTCACAGTTTCCACAAAATATTAAGCAGCACAACTGACAAAAAGAAACTGAAGACTGGCGTAAAGGCTGCTGAAAAATCAGCTTTGACATCACAGAAATAAATTACATTTTAAAATATATTAAAATAGAAAACAGTTATTTTAAATTGTAATAATATTTCACAATATTACTGTTTTTACTGTATTTTTGAACAAAATAAATTCAGCCTTGGTGAGCATAAAGGACTTCTTTCAAAAACTTCAACTTCCAAAAAAAACAAAACAACCTCAACCTTTTGAACGGTAGTGTATGTACAATATAAGAGGTTAAAATCTGTTAATGCAGAACACAGCCAACATTCAAACATTCTGGCTGGTTCTGATAAAAATGAAATGAGTGCAGGAATATTTCCCTCAGCAGGCGACACAGTGAATCTCTTATAAGGCGTTGGGGAGGTGAGAGGAGATCTCTGAGGCCTTTTCAGAGCTTCCGAAGGTCATGACAGAATGTTACTGATAAAAAGCAGAGATTCAGGCTAATTAAGTTCTGTGTAATAATGGTATTCCATTTGGGAAAGTATTTATGCTCAGTCCTTTTGTGTTATAGCCACATTCATAAGGGTTTTAGGTGATTTCTAGCAAGTGAACAATCATATTGAATGCAGGAGCTGAACTGTGAGATTATCTAATCAAGCATGACCATCCCCCCCAGCTTTGATCACAGGAATACAGTAGCCTATATGTTAAAATATTTCACAATATTATAAGAGACTTTCCCAAAAAAAGGGGGGGTTGGGGCTTGAAAATATTATTCTCTACAAAAGGGGGGCCCGACAGAAAATGTTTGGGAACCACTGCACTAACAGACTCATATGTAATTATAGCTTGATTTCATCCAGCATGTATACATGTTAATCAGACTACAACTGGCCCTGCCGTTGTTACAGAGGTGGTGCTCAACATGTATTTAATCCTTCAAATATTTGCGTATGCACTGTGTCATGTATACTTATAAAGACTGTAGCTTGACAATGCAAAAAACTCGATCATAACTGCACATGTAAACATACTGTACTTTATGACTCTGTATGGAAGGCTGTAGGTTGAACCTAGTAAGGCTCACTCCGTTGGCACAAAAATCAGAACAGGGAGGGTGATAAAGGCTTCTCAGTGCACTAACAGAATCTCATCATCCTCTTCCTCGCTAGTTGTGAGTCTGCAAAGCCTGACACTGTCACCAGGAACCTCTTCTGTTTCTGAAGATTTCCTGGCGTGTCCGTGAGCATCTGTGAGCGAGTCTGTGTGTGCGTTCATATGTGGTTTTCTGAATGTAGGAAAGCTTCTCTGCTCCTCAGACTGACCACTGGAGGACGTCGGTGACTCGGGGGAGGAAAGCGGTGAGATGCCCACAGAGGTGTAGCGCAGGAGAGAGACTCCTCTGAGCTCTGCAGCCAGTTCCTGCACCAGCCGTCTGGAGGATCTCGACTGGCTTGTGCTGCGTTTGGGGCTATCGGGGGGTCCAGGAGGACTGTCATCATCTTTATGTTTTGGGGAAATGCCCTGTTTGGATTTCATTCTCATCCACTCTGATCCTCTGTCATCTTCATCATCTTCGTCTTCCAGAGTGTCAGAGGTGGAGCGGGGTGAGGTAG